GCGGACACTTACGTAGCAAAGGTAGTAGCTATATAACTAACTCTGTCGTCAAAGCCGGTCTTTTGGAATGAGGTTCGAGGGACCCCCCCTGAAGATGATCGGTTGGCAACCGATCGAAACGCGGCGCAAGGGGAAGCCGCAAGCACGAAGGTGGGAACTGGCACTGATGTGCCATGCACGTTATCTTACGGATCTTGACATGAATTTGGACGAACTATTGTGCTTGTTTATCTTTCGTCATGGTTCGTTCCTTTTCTTCTCAGTGATGAATGAGATCTCAGTGTACATGTGACCACGCACATGGTTAACTCTATCCACACAAGAGAGAGAGAGAGAGAGACAGAGAGAGACTCTCTGTTTTTGGGGGGAGGGGGGGGATTTTCCAAATACCCCCATAAGTTCAGATATATGTCAAAGTGTCCCTAAAAGATATGGGCACAGTGGCATGGCCTTTTGGGCTGACATATTTGTGTTATGCCCCTGTTAGGCGGGTGTGCAAATCCGCTTGGCCTTTTGCAATTCGCAAAGTTGGGCAGAGTCCGGTAGGGGTACATTGCAAAGATGGGGTCCAACTGATGGCTAGAGTGTTTCGCAAAATGTTTTTGTCATCGTCCTTCGCCGCAGCGTAGCTGCGGCAGGTCCACTTGTATATATTAAAAGACACAGCGGTCCACCCGTGACGCTCTCCCCGGGAGACCAGGAGAAACTGGGGGCGGAGCTCCGCACGAAGTGCCAGAAACCATGAAGGGGCGAGGTCGAGGCCCGCTTGAGGGTACCAGGATGCGGCATGCACCGGGTCCGGTCGTTATCATGACGAAATGGGATCGACGGCTTGGGGGCGTGGCAACCGGGTGCTGTTGTGCGGGCGGTGAAGAAGTGCGCTGCTTCACCCCGATGCACTCAAGCTGCACCCGAAAAAGTGTACCTGTTCGATTGTTTTGGTCGACAGAGCACACGCGGCCGCACACATGAGTGTGTGTGTGTGTGTGCGTGCGAGCGTGTGCATGTGTGTGTGTGTGTGAGTGAGAGAGAGAGAGAGCGGCATTTTCGACCGAATGTGAACGGAACACGACACACAACGCCCCTCTGTGTGTGGGTGTGGATGTGCGTGTGTCTGCGTGTGCGAGAGAGAGAGAGAGAGACGCATGCCGTTGTCCGTCTTGGAGTGCCGCCGCGCGGCAGGTGGCAAAGTGCACCCCTTTATGTGTGTGTGTGTGTGTGCGTGTGTGTGTGTGTGTGTGTGTG